TTAGTTTTCAGACAAAACCGTTTTATAGACAACGCTAGACAACAAACTTTCTCCTTTTTGTCATTGTATAATAATTACAATAAAAAGTGCGATGAACTTAATTCCGTCTGTTTTAAATGGAATTTGTAATTCAGATCATTGTAACAGACATAAAAGATGACAGTGTACTTGGTTTCTCTAATTGGATTACCTTTAACAAATCTTAAGGAAGAACAGACACTCCTTTCTTTATTAAAACGTGGAAGCGAGATTTGGTTTTACCATATTAATATATAAAGACATTTTTTAAGATAGCCACAATGTAATGTCTTTGAAATGAAGTTGTTGAAATTATTACTATACACATAGCAGCTCATAATCAGTAACATTTAAAAAAAAATCAAGTAAAAATAAACAAAATGAAAAGATAAAATTACTCCAACTTAAGATCCACCAATTACAACACAAGCGTTATTTCTTACTTTTTGTGAAAATATTTTACTATAATGATTGATATTTTCGCGGGTTCTGTTAGCTGTTTGTAAAACTTGTCTTCTTTTAGTATTCCACATTTTTATTTATTTTTTATTATGCACCAGAAATGCCTTTATATTTATTCCTCAAATGCTTTGTATTTATATGAGTATACCTTTATAGTTTCCCAAAAGTTACTTACTGGTCAAATACCCGAGACATCTTTATCATTTTTTTTTGTCAATTAGTACTATTATAGTGATTAAATATTTTGGCTTGATGTCAAATACCACTTTGTGAACAGTTTGCTACTTTTATAATTGCTTATTACATATGTGTTGCTACTTCCTTCAGGTAATACGCATTTGACATACTCGAAAACACCTATTTAAACGTTATAAAATTTATGGGTGCCCTTTTTTCTTCTCTCTTCCCCTCGGTACGTGTAAGTCATATAGAAGACACAGGGCATCGTGAGAAGATATGAAGACTGGAGGCGGCGAATAAAGATCGGAACGTGTGCTGCGGACCAGCTGCCGATGTCCTGACTAAAACCGAAGGGAGTGGTCCTACAAAGTAGGCTCTTGAGTCGACGAGGATGGTGTGCTAAGGTACGTGAGCCCTTAGAACGGTTAGACGGCTGGGACGGCAGGCCTTTTGCTGGCACTAACAGCCCTTTTAGGGCTAACCTTTCATATTGTCTCAGTGACCTACTTTTGGCTTGAAATTCATAACTGTGGCTAATAATCCATGGAAATTGCATGGAGGTAAATTATCACCACTTTGTGCTTCAAAATTAACTCTTTAAAGGCATGACTGGTGACATGTCCGGGGCCCCTACTCGACAGCGAAAGCTGCATTTTGTGCCCGAAAGGCCGGATGGACCCTCATTAAGCATAAACTACAAACATACATGGGTGCTCTTTTTAATGGTTAAAGTTATTTTTTCTGAGGCATAATGTGCCTTTAGCACGGGAATATTTGAGTTCTTCTTATCAATAATGCAAATTTATTAAAATTCAATCGATTTTTAATAAATCTGCATTATTGATAAGAGGAATTCAAAAAAAGAGCACCCATGTATGTATGTAGTGTATGCTTAATGAGGGTCCATATATTTTTTCCAGATTATTTCCTAAGATTTCACTAGAACAATAAAAGGAGCATTTTTATGTGTAGAATAAGTAAATGTCACATTACCGACTCAATAACGTATGATTTGAACATACAGAGTTGCCAATTAACAAGCGGATTAAATAATTCATTGCTTTTTTTCACATCCAGTTGACAAAAATAATAAGCGACAAAATATAAATGAGGTTTTTAAGAAATTTATTACAACGATAACAAATAGTAAATGACCTGTATGTTTTCTGGTCATGCTTGAACCTGACGAAATTAATGTTGTTTTATTTGTATATATTTTAACATTATTTTTTCTTAAATAAAGCAATACTATAGCACAATGTTAACCCATGTTTTGACGAGCTATTTATTTTGAGCATGTTTAACCAGGTTGTCAATTTTGAAAATCGTGGTTATTAGATTTGGGTAAGTCGGGCGGGCAGACAGTCGTTAAACAAGATAGTTTCTGGCCAATAACACAATTTCAGATTGATTTATCTTAATGAAAGTGGTGTAGTATAGTGTTGATAGGTTTTTTTAAGCCCCCCTAGGTCCAGCTCACAGTCCCTAAAACGGGATTGGTTTCTGGTCAATAACTTACTTGGAATGAGCTAATGCTTATGTTAAGACCTCCCTTGAAATTGCGTTTGACAACGGCCTTCTGGCCACATTCAACTGTTACTAAAAAAGAGAAAAAACGTTTCTCGTTAATAAATAGATTTAGGAATTAAATTTAGTTTAATTTTATTCATAGCTATCCTATTTGAACGACTTGGGTTGCTTTTGAGTCCTATATGATCAAGGACAAGGGCACTGTGACTAAAAAGGAAGTTTGTTTCAAGTTGACGAGTTAGAAGTATGAGTAAGGAATTTAAGAGTAAGGAATCTTTTAAAAAATCTTGATTTATAACACGCTTATGTGAGATCCCGCTTCAGATTGCTTTAGGGACCCCTAGAAGCAAGTTCAATAAAATATTAATTTTTCAATGTGCTGTTTAATTACAAAATGCTTGCTCATTTTTTTGATGTTTACACTACACATAGTGATATTGTAATATGTTGTTTGCATTTGTTTGCATATTCCAACTACAACAAATTTTTTTACAATAGTGATAACTGAAAACCGGGTTCCTAGGCATTGCCATGTTTCTTGCTTTATTAAATTCAATCAATTGTGCCATAAGAATATAAATGACACGACACAGAAGACCTTTTCCCTTACACATCTTCTTTATGACAAGGCATTATGAACTGTTGTTAGAACGGATGGTGTTACGTTAATTATACCAACAAAACAATCAAATTTAATTGAAATTGAAAACCATGAATGTGATTGTATTAAACAGAAATCCTTTTAAAGTATTTTATACAGTTATAATTGTTCTGAAAAAAATATATCAACCAAAAGAAATTTAAGCTTCAAATGTGTGATGCGTCTATTGATTTGTAGCAAGTTTTAAATATGCCACTATGGTATGTTTATGGAAATGATCGATCAATTACATGGATTGAGAAATCACATGAAAGACGATTAAGAAAAACAGGTGTCATTATAATGCAAAATACTTCATTTTGGAATGTTTTAGTTGTATGTCAAAAAAAAGAACTAAGTTCAGACAAAAATGGATATATTCCTCACTCAAGATGAATTTATTTAGCACATTGTCAAATAAAAGTTTCAACATCCATTTATATTGTTATATATTACGGTCTTTAGAAAAAATATAAAAATACGTACTGATATTTCTTTCGTTTTCTTAAAGTCACACTAAATTATTGAAACGTTCATAGTTCAGTAACTTGCGTGAAATAATAAATACCAGTTTGGAAGTTACAAAAGTCTTAGCCAAACAGTGCTTATTGCAAATAATAATATGTCTAATACTATGTATGGTTGCATAGGCTAGCATTTTACAAGATAAGTCTGCAGCAGTTTCCATAGGCTAGCATTTTACAAGATAAGTCTGCAGCAGTTTCCTTATTTATGTTTACTTATGTACAAACACAATAGAATTATTACACATTGAATATTTTAGCCCATTGAAATGCTCATGATAAAAAGGAATTTGTTGTATATGCGGCATATTCAAATAGTTAACGCGTCGGACAGGTAACCTAATAATAGAGGGCCACATGGGTTCAAACCCTGTCAGTTTCCTTGAGCAAGAATATTTACACTCATTGCTTATTGCTCAGTAATGGTTTGTTCTAGGAATGGATTCGAAAGTATATTCATAATCTTATACCTTCCTGCATAATAAATTAATTACTTACGTGTTTTGGGGAAATGCCATGATCCAGAATTATTTGTATTGACATCAAACATGCAGTTACCATTATGCTGATAAAAACATTATTGCTTCGACATCTCAAAAAGCGAACAGATATTGTTAAAACAAAAAACTGCAGTAAATATATGTAAACCTTTGCTCCCTTGTTTGTTTTATATCCCTTAAAGAAAGGCGAGTTGTGGATGTTTACAAGAAACTGGCACATTTATGTCATATGCAGGGATATATTTTCTGTAGTCTTTACACAAGTCATGTTATATTCAGAGATTTGTCATTTACCATAAAATTCAACAATCAATTTAACATAAAATACAAATAAATTGTTCATTTTATACAGCTGAGTATTGAGTTTGAAATCCCGCACAAAATTGGCACATTTTAGAAAAGAAATATCATGATCTGTGTTTCAACGCAAAATTAAAAAGATCAAAGGTAACAATAGACACTTATTTCAGACAACGAATATTGTAACCTTTCTCAGACCCTCATCACAGACGTTCACTTCATATTTTGTAAAAACTCCCTACAAAAAGTATGAAATCTGAATAAATAACTGCTGTGATAAAAGACGTACATAGTATGTCAGACTGTTCTAAATGACGGTAATAGTTGAAAACCTGTAAAGACAACTTAGCTTGAATTTTAACCGTTTTATGTTTCATTCATCACACAGCTTTGTCATATATTTGATATTATAGATAACATTAAAGCAGCACGCCTCCAGATTCATTCTCATTTTCATGGAAATTTTGAAAATGTATTTAAAGGTAAAATATTGTGAAATAAACAAAGAAAGTACTTGACACATTACAATCGGCACTTAAAATCCACGTAAATTACCAAAAAGAGGTCAAAATATGCATAAATAGCCCCTTCTGCGTTAGTAACGCAGTGGAAATATGGTGATAAATACTTCAAAATACAGTCATTAATTGCACATAAGATATAAAGTATCACTTGAATCTTTAATTTGTTCACTTTTCCAAAATTTTAGTATGGTTTTTCCAAGTTTAATTTTCTTGAAATATTTTGGGTCATCTGGAGGCATGCAGCTTTAAAGTTATATTCCTGGTCAAATTCATCAAAACAGATTGTCAAATTAACGCCTTATTGTTATCAAATGCGTTATTTAACTAGTATTGACAAAGTTTTCCAACTTAGAAACGCTCTCCGTAACATTTCTGACCATTCTAAAAAATGCATTTTCTTATTTGACTGGGTTAGTCAAATAAGATTTATATTTTGGCGGGAAGCCCTTCGATTATTTCCGTAAATGTTCGGATCTGAGTCACGTGATATGATTTACCAAACCAAAATAATGGCGGACAATACGAAAGGTGTGTCACGTATACGAGAAATAAATTTTGAGATTGGGAAAGGAAAAAGCGAAAAGTGGAAAGAAACTTGATTTAATTCAATCAAGGATATACTCCGGTAGTGATTCAAAGCGATGAAAAGTTCTAAAAAGGGTAATTAAAACCAAAAGCGACCGTGAAGTTGTTATCTGATTGACAGGTGAGGTGATCATCGTTTTTGTTTGCACTTAAATTTTTCTTGGTCTTAGATCTACTTATAGAAAAATTTCACCTACGAATATATAAACACAGATATTGTGTTATAGTTTTTAGGATGGTTTTGACTTATGATAAAGAAATTAAGCTTGCAGATCCACGTCTGTGTATCAAGTTTTCGTTCACTGTAATTTTCGTACGGACCCATTTTCGTACCAATAAATTGTTAACAGGTTAAATAAAAGATCGGCTGAGCCTACTGGTCGGAGACCATCAACCGGACACTTTTGGAACACTTTTCCGTACAGATTTCATAATTTTTAACCTAGAGACCAACAAATTTGACACAGTTCAGCTAGGTTCTTCTCCTAACTAACAAACTAGTTTGTTTATTTCTAATTGTATTGACACTTATATCAGAGGCTCGACAAGGAGGGTATCAAAATTACCTAAATTGTCTACACTACAGTACCATGTGTCCGGACAGATATGTACATGACGTGATTTAATTCAGATACAAGCTTGGGTGTTTTGCTTTTTGATTTTTAACATGATATACAATATGTCAGTAACAAATGCTGAAGTTTTGGATATTCTATTATTCACTCTGCAAATGATTATAGCTGGTATATGAGGACAGGCATTGCTTTCTTGACCCCCAAATTTCAACGTCAACATTCTTGAAATAGACATTAAAATATTACCATTTACGGAGGTTGAAATAAATTTATTTACTTAATTGTAAAATAAACATGCACTTATTGTTGATAAAAAAAGTGACTGACAACCACTGAACAAAGAAAATACTAAATTAAGCATTTTCCGGGCCGTCCGGGTTAGGTGGTTGTCCGGTTTTGTTGGTCCCCAACCAGTAATCCTTTACAATTTTATGGCGTATGTTCATTGTAACCATTGTAATATCGTTTAAGATGGCCAATCACTATCTTTTAAGAATCATTTAAGACACAACAAAATTATATTTTGAATAACTTTTATTTTCCAATTACATTATTGTTTTTTACTGTAAGCTGTACTGTATAGTAACTACAATGCTGTGAAATAGATTAGACACATGTGTCTCAAAAAGGGTTAGAACTATTGACTAGCAGAACAGACATTTCTTCAAAGCATGTTCAACTATCAAGGGTAGTCCTATAAATGTGACGTCCTTTGATTTTGAGATATTTTTGCTTTTGGGCAACCTTGACCGACATTTAAGCAATAACAAGCCCGTAAGTCTGATATATTGATCTACTATCCAGGCTTGTTGACTCTTCAAAGAAATAAAGTAGAAAAAATAAAATGTTGTCTGGAAAATCGCACAAAAATCAATATTGTTGTCTCATTTGAATCATTTTTGCAGTAAAATTTCAGCATTTCACAATTTGAAAAATAATCATGGAGTGATGGACAATAACCATAATTGTGCTGGAATTGTTAGATAATTCTTATTGACAAACCTTCTTCCTTATAAGCAGTGCAGCAATTCATGTATTGTAATTGGTTTGAATAGTCAAGATTTTAGGCCATGGTACTAGTATGCTATATTTTCAATTACAGAATTAAATCAATTTCATCGTCATCATGTGTTGCAATACCACTACCAGGGACATCAAAGATGACCTGGACTTCAGTGCATATGCAGAGGAGAGTAAGTACACCATTTTTTGTCGAAAGTGACAGGTTATAATAATACCTTTCAAAATTGCTATATATAACTATATACTTGCATAACTAATTTACTTATATAATTCATATAAAAAACTGATTAATCTTAAATACTGCTGAATTCATGTTTTTTATTAGTTTATTGAACCAAATAGTGGATATATACATGTCAACATGTGATCCATATATATCATGATCAGATATTCATATGATTTAAATATTAAACAATAATGACATTTTTTAAGTGGCATATAATACTGTATTAGAAGAAGAAAAAAAAACATGCATTACATGGTTAATTTTGGTCCAATTGAAAGATTTTGGTGTCATCTTAAATGATGAGTTTGATATTTGTATGACTCAATAATATTTTTATAGATAATTGTTCACTGAGGTGAAAAAATAATAGAGGGTCATTATAGGTCTTAAATCCACTTGTGAAAAAATATATATGAGCCGCGTCATGACAAAACCAACATAATGGTTTTGCGACCAGCATGGATCCAGACCAGCCTGCGCATCCGCGCAGTCTGATCAGGATCCATGTTGTTCGCTTACAAACCCTATAACAAGTAGAGAAACGGATAGCGAACAGCATGGATCCTGATCAGACGGCGCGGATGCGCATGCTGGTCGCAAACGCACTATGTTGGTTTTGTCGTGACGCGGCTCATATATGGTTTTTGGAAAGGATTCTGTTATGTAGTCAATTCTCAGACCATACAACAAAATAGTTACAGATTCCTCAAAAGTGGAGTATACTTTCTTAGTTACAATCAAACATCATGAATTACTAATTTCTAGCTTTTTTTTTTTTCAAAGCTATTACATGTATTCTATGTCAGATTGCTATGTTGGCATACAATTGCATTATTTAAATATTTTGAAATGTATCAACATGAAACTTGAAAGACTTGCTTATCAGGACAAAGTGTAATTGTTAAACAGGGGAGCATACATGTTCTTATGAAAGCAGTCATTGAATTTAGCACTGGCCCGGTGGCCCATGGCCAGTGAAAATTAGTTTGGGCCAGTGTAAATTTTAAGAAAATGTAGTTAAATATATAGTAGAATAAATTCAAAACTGGAATTGGGGCCAGTGAATTCAAAATCTTAAATTCAATGACTGTGAAAGCAATATTTTTTTAAGTTATAATTATCCCTTTTAAACTAAGAATTTTTAATAGACTGGTGTTATCACTGCATGCAATACTGCTGTATTTGTTGTTAATAACAAGGGCAGATTCATGTCCTATAGTAAAGGTTGGTGAAGACTGAATATATACAATTCTTATGTAGAATATTTTTCGCTAAAATGAAAGGAATTCCACAATTGTTTTTTTTTAGTCCCCTACCGGTTTACCGGAGGGGACTTTAGGTTTACCCTCCGTCCGTCCGTCCGTCCGTCAGTCCGTCCGTCCGTCCACAAAACTGGATCCCGCGATAACGCAAAAAGTACTGAAAATATTTTAATGAAACTTGATATATGGATAGATGGCAGTATGGAGATTATGCACGTCTCTTTCTTTTCTTCCTATGTTAAAAATTCTGGTTGCTATGGCAACAAATAGACTGAAAATATGGCAAATTTTACACATAACCTGGATCCCGCGATAACACAAAAAGTACTGAAAATATTTTTATGAAACTTGATATATGGATAGATGGCAGTATGGAGATTATGCACGTCTTTTTCTTTCCTTCCTATGTTGAAAATTCTGGTTGCTATGGCAACAAATAGACTGAAAATATGGCAAATTTTACACATAACCTGGATCCAGTGATAACACAAAAAGTACTGAAAATATGTTTATGAAACTTGACATATGGGTAGATGGCAGTATAGAAATTATGCACATTCTTTTCTTATCTTCCTATGTTGAAAATTCTGGTTGCTATGGCAACAAATAGACTGAATTTCAAGATTTCTGATTCTAGTTTTTTAAGTTTTTTCACTGTAAGTTCTTTATTTCTTAAGGTATTTTCTTCAAACTTTAAATATAAATTGCTTGTCATCAACCACATCATATGTGACAAGGTTTACAACTCTAGCACAAAATTTATCAGAATTACCTCCCTTGAACTTAAAATTTTCATGAAAAAAAAACATTGTTTTTTTAATAACTTCTTTTTCTGAATGTATCTACTTCAAACTTCATAAAATGTTTCTTATTATCACTCAACATTTGTGAGTGTTCAATACTCTAGCAAGACTATTTCCAGAATTATGCCCCTTTTGAACTTAGACTTTTTTTTTTGAGAAATTGGTAATTTTTACTCCAACTTCTTCAATCATGATAGGATTTTAAAAATGTTATATTTTGATAACAGGGATGTTTAAAAAATAACTTTAGAGTGTCCTTCAGTCCGTCTGTCTGTACATAAAAACTGTTTCCTGTGATCACTTTTAAAGAACTTTTTCAACAAATTTACTTAAAATAGGAACCTAAGTGAATGGCCAATGGCCCTTCAGAATGTTGCTTGGGCTCTTACCGGTAGGGGACTTATGGATTGCTTGCAATACTATGATAATTGCTTGTTTCTTATAAATCTTAAGCAAGTTATGGTTTAATCTTCAGGTAGCACTAAAGAAAGCCAATAAAATCCTTTTGGAGTTGAATTGAGACACAACCATTCATTTCTGGTTTAGTTATAAAACTGCTACAGACTATAAACTATTCATGGTAAGTAAACAATTATTATATATTTGATTTTGTTTGAATGTTTGATATTTTTATATGATTATTCTTTTGCTCAAGAAATATTTAGATAAAATTCTAGATAGCAATACATAATTGTCATTTGTTGCAAGAAAATTAATGCATGCAAGATATTTTGATGCATAATGTGGAATACTTCATAGGTTTATGGTAAGCATTTTATATGTAAAATAAATGTGAAATGCTTAGTAATGTTTCAAGAAACTTGTTGAAGGCTGACTTCTTTGCCATTTTTTAATGCATGCTTATTTGTCTTGATATTTTATTTCAGGGAATAATATATTTTAGTGTCTGCATCAATCTTATAGTTATTGAGCATGAATGGATTCTGTTTTCAGATGATGGAATACACCAATGCCTAGTACAATCATGGCCCATTAGAAACCAGAACAAACCATGACTGCAAAGGAAATAAGATGCACATAGTCTGAAAGATCTGGCTGGTGTTCTGAATAAGATGACTGCAGGTATGTTCTCATCAGGTACAAAAAAAAGAAATTTATATTGACAGGGTTCCCCCTGGAGCAATTTTAGTTTGCACCACCAGATTGGCCAATCAAAAAAGTTGAAGCCAATGGCTCCAATGTTGGAACCATTAATTCTGCAAAGGAGATATGTCTATCTTTGTTAAGATATGCTAGCAGTTTGGAGTGAAATTTTTAAAAGGATTTATTTTCCTAACTGGAAAGGAGTATATGTCCTGATTAATACAAAGCTCATATGTCTATTTGATTATAGAATGTTCAATGTTTACAGCACCTTTATATGTTAATGCAAATGGACCTACAACCATTATGTATAAATTAATTGGCACCTTTATTGCACTTATCAATTGAAGGATAGAGCTGTGTAAAATCTTTTCAAAGATAATTATTTACATACAGAGATTATATCTAGCATATGAATATGTTAATGTTAAAGGATTTTTCCTTACTAAAATCATTTAAATGAAAATATCTTTCCATTATTTGTATTCATTTTTAGAAGTACAGCTGGCATGTAGGGGTTTCACCAGCACATCTTGATGTATTGTACAAAAGATTTGCTTACACACTACCTGTTTATAGGATGCACAATCTTCTTGAAGCCATAGATTATAATATACATGCAAATAGACCATACATCACCAACAAGGGGGATCTGTTAGGTATGCTACTAACAAAACTCCAACATGTAATGTTTCACAAAAAATTTTACAGAATGAAAGAAAACAGTGTCCAGTTTGTGTTAATAAAGTGAATTGTTTGGAACTATAATAATGTTCAACATAGATGTACTCTGTACTGAGTCTAATATGGATGTAGCATGTTTCTTTGTTTATTTCAATAGAAAGATTTCAGTTCTTCAAACATATAAAGAGGCAAAACCTAAATAAAATGTTGTGCTTTATCTTCTTTGGGCATATAGATTCTCAACATTTTTTTTTCTCATTTTTGCATATGAATATAAATGCTGCATATCTTAGTATTAAATGTTCCTGCCTCTATGAATTATAAGATATTTTTATTGAAAGTGTGATCACTATGCATTTATATTGCCTATATAATATTAATTTCAATCAAAAGAGATTTTGCAGTCTCTGAATAACCTGACTAATAAATTTTGAGGACATAATTACATGTAATGCATTTTGAGAATTGTATACACTTATGATTTTTTGTTATAACAGGCTTGTTAATTTCTCATTTCAGACTTCAGCGAGTCTGGATGAATTAAAGAAGAAGAAAAAGTATCATTATACCATTTTTCATGATGCTATAACTCTGAGAATTAGTGACATGGAGGGGATATATAAAATAGAAAGTTAGAGGAAGATGACCCCCACAGACTTTCAAAATATTTGGCCCAAGTTAGCCCGAAAGCCTACCCGAGCCATTCATGAGGAACATAAATCAAGATATGATTGACTTTTTATGGGAAAGAATGATAAATAGTGTTGTGTTACACTGATTGCCCAACTATTCAAACATATTTAAGCTGACATTGAACACCTGGTATTCATGATAGTTTTATGAAATATCTTTTTAGATATGGCACTGTATCTATCTTGTTTCGAAAAAAAATTCTCTTGATTCATTTGTCATGACTCAAGGTCTGTTTTTAATATTTTGTCAGAAAAATGACTACTTTTTATACAAGTGCAAAATATTATCCAATCTATTAAAGTATAAGTGCTGCTATGAGCTTTAATGTAGTAACAAAGTTAAAAGTATTATTCAATTATATCTTTTGATATACATGTACTATGTCATTCACTTTAGCTCAGCTTTTCTTTTTTTTTTTTTTTTTTGAAAAAAGAAATAGAGGTTGCTGCCGTTGCCTTCTGCAAACTTGAACCTTGTTCATAACTTTTAAAGTTCTTGGTGTATTGTCTAACCTTGGCCTTCTTTCATAATTGACCTTGACCTTCAAGGTTAAATGTCTAAATTTTGGCTTTGCTTGTTATTTGCTATTAGTGGCTTTAACTTTATTGCCCTTTGTTAATTTTCATATTTCATTTTTGTCTTGGCCATTTCTCCTAAACTATATTGTTCACAAGGCAACACATCCGACTCGCGGAGATCTAGTTGTTATTAGTCTATGAATTGTTTGTAGTCCAATCTAGTTTATTAGACCAATGACACAGGGGCATTTTATATAAAATCCTTGTTCAATCAAACAAGGCAAGCCTTAAAATTATCTTTGTATTTACTCCCTCATCCCATTCCAGTTTAGATAGGATAGGTGGGCTGATAAAATATTTATTTTTGTGCCCCCACTTTAGTGGCGGGCATTTAGATTTACCTTTGTCCGTCTGTCCGTATTTCACCTAGAGTCATGAAACTTTACTGTAATGTTGATCAGCAAGTGTAGTTGTTCACCTCGGTATTTTCATCTGGATATTTTTAGTATTTTCAGAGTTACTGCCATTGAATTTTTGCAATTTTCAACTTGTGTCGCATGTTACTCAAGAAGTATTTGACCTACAGCAATGAAACTTTACAGGAATGTTGAACATTATGTGTAGTTGTGCACCTAGGTATTTTCGTCTGGATTTAGTATTTTGAGAGTTATGGCCCTTGACTTAGTAAAATTTTGCAATTTTCAACTTGTGTGGCATGTAACTCAAAAAGTATTTGACTTAGAGTCATGAAACTTTACAGGAATGTTGATCAGCATGTGTAGTTGCGCATCTGGGTATTTTCGTCTGGAATTATTTAGGATTTTTAGAGTTATTGCCCTTGACTTGGTAAAATTTTGCAGTTTTCAACTTGTGTCACATGTAACTCAAAAAGGATTTGACATAGAGTCATTAAACCTTACGGGAAGGTTGCTCAGCATATTTAGTTTTGCACCTGGGGTTTGGCTTGTGGATTTATCCAGTATTTGTAGAGTTATTTCCCTTGACTTAGTAAAAAACATTTCATTATGTTGTTATTTGTTCCTTGAGTGCTTGAGTGAGAATCAACCAACTTTACAGGAATAATGATCAACATCACTAAATTACAGGAATAATGATTTACATCACTGTGAAGATATGAACCTGGGACTTTCATGTGGATTTTTTTCAGTTTTGTTAGTGTTATTGCCCTTGACTTACAGTAGTATAAATTTACAATTTTTCAACTTGTTCATGCATAGCTCAAAAAGTATTTATGTTTTCTTTCATTTCATTCAGCCAAACATAAATAATTTATCATTTAACTCCATAATTTAATATCCTACAGGGATAAAATATAAATAAGAAAGACAATATAGGAGTGGCTACTACAGGTTCACTTTAATTTATCGAATAATTTACAATTTTCAACTTGTTCATGCATAGCTCAAAAAGTATTTCACTTGTAGGCCTGAATGTTGAAAAGAATGTTGGTCAGCATGTGTACTTATGCACCTTGGGGTTTACTTGTGAATTTATTCAGTATTTGTAAAGTTCTTGCCCTTTACTTAGTAAAGTTTTCAAAAAATATTTGACCTAGAGTCATAAGATTGACAGAACAGTGGCGCGTAGGGGGGACCCGTGTCCTATGGACACATTCCTAGTTATTCAAAATGTTTGTCTTGTTTTATTTTTCATTAAAATTATATGTAGTATGTAGTTCAAAAACAAGTTGTGTGCATGAAAGCATCTGTTTTACTTGAAAATTTAGAACCATATTTTCAGTTTCAATTAACAAATATCCCAACATTTGTATATTTACAATTAAGAAATCACGAGACAGTTAAAAAGATGTCATTCTCATTGACACTCTGATTTCATTTTAGTAAACAAATCCTGGGCAATAAGATATTTTAGGTAGCTGTGCTATTTATAGGTAGGTCGCGGGAGTGGGGAACAAACAATATTTTACATTCAGGGGTAAGCCTAAGTTTTTAGGCTTGGTAGGAACATTGCCCTTCCCCAGATAATGGCACCAACTGATTTTGAGGTAATTAGATTTAAATCTCAAGATGGCATAAAGTTTAACTTCCTTTAAATATGTGTAACATTGTAAGGTATAGTTTATGTAACTCACAAGGAAAAATTCTGAATGCCATTAGTTTTAAGATTGGCCCATTTGATTATAAGTTCAAGGTCTCAGTGACATGTAAACTCATTGTCCCAAGGTTTTGAACATTTCCAGGGACATTGCTTAGATTAGTAATTAAGCATTAGTTTGGAGTTAATAAGGTCTAAGGTCACAATGGCTTAAGCATAATATCCTTCATCACCAGAAACCAATAAGGGGTTAGCTCAAGTTCATACAATTTTGTTGGAATTAAGATATTATTTATTTCCTTCTACAATATTGGCCATCTTCACACTTTCTCTTCCTGTTAAGACAGCATGGATTGAATAAAAAATAAAACTATAACTGTAAAGAAGTCACTGGTGTACACTTTTAAGGGTAAGAAAAAGAAGATATGCTGTTCATTTGAAAATATTTTATTGTTGTTTTACTGCCAATGTTCAAATACATGTTTCAATTTATCTGTGTTTTTGTTATTTTAACAACATTCCAAAATGTGTCCTGAAACGTGCTAAGAGAAGTGGAGTGTAAATTAACATTGAAAGGTATTTGTAAAACATTGTTACAATCTGTGATCTTATTTGAATTTTAAAAAAGTACATTTGACATCAGAAAATAGAGAAATAAAGAATTCCTGCAGAAAGCCCAAAATGACAAAATTGAAACTGTTGCAGGCTCTATTTGGTGAGCCTGTTGGAAAGTGCAAGTTACCTTCCATGCCCCCCTAGCACCAGCTTTAGCAGAATTCAACATTTGAACATAAAGTGGTGAAATTTATGGTTTTATGCCATACCGGTGTACATAATCCAGAGATTAGGATTTAATTCTTGGCAATATTATTTTCAGTGGAATGCAAGTGTTCATTGTTAACAGAATAATATTTACACAGGTTGCACTGTGTTTGTATTGGAATGAAATTCTCATTAGTACATTATTTTCCATAATGTGCACTTTTACAAAAGGCTTACATAAAAAACAGGTCTTGAGTGATCATTTTCAAAATTATAGGCATCAGAACTTTAACTTGGTCCTTTTTCCATTCTGGTTTGCTTATAAATTGAAGTATAATTATACATTATCATATATCAAATGGTTGAGTCTGTAGATGTTAAATATGTATTGGCTTTTGCATGCAGTTGACTGGTTATTTAATCTGGTAACACCCTATACAGGTTATTACACCAGATTGCCAAATTATATTTCTTTTCATTATAATTTCCTAACACAGACACTTGGGTTTGTGGCTCAAAACGCCTTTAAAATAAAAAAAAAAAACTTAATATAAGCCATTTTGAAAAAAATTCATATTTCAACATCTATAATATAATACAGATTGAGCACCAAAGCCCAAGTGTCTGTGTTTCATAATATTTACATGACGCACACTACTGTATGCCATATTACTACGATGGAAGCTTGGCAATAGGTACGTATTATTTCTGGTACGAACCGATCATAAAGAAAGGCTAATTTACCGATTTCAAATAACCACAGCAACCGTACGACATAGACATGACCAACGTACGCTCCATCTTCTTGTTTACTGTAGATCTAGTGAGAGTCTCAGACTTTGTTCTTTTTCCGATTGTTTCGTAACGCGTTACGAGGATATAAGCTACATTCCTTAGCTAATAAATAGCTTTTCATATCGTTTATTAATTACAAAACATCAAATAAAATTGCATCCGTCATTTATATTATATATCTCCTAATATCGGGGTCGCAAGTTTGTTGACGTTTCTAATTATAGCGTTTCCGAACTTGTTTCTAATTATAGCATTTCCGAACTTTTCCGTATGCAAATGAGTTAATTCCGAATGAAACCGATCGGGCCCGAGAGCTTTTACAAATGGCGGGGATTTCAAAAACTGGCGATATTATATCCAGTTGCATCCGAGTGTTTCGGCGAAATAAGATTAAAATTGTATAGCAGTTCATCATTAATGAGGATATACTTATGATTTAGGTGATAATTTCTGAAAACTAAGTTGTAGGGTAAAATATCATCGTTGAACGGTATTATAACTTTAAAAGTGCCGATATTGTAAAGTACAGCTGTAATGTTATCTTATCATAAAAATAATCATCAAAATATTTATTAAAATCGCAAAATCGATAAAGCTGCCTGTGCGTAAATGTCATATAGATAAGTATAGACTATAATTATTTTGTTTTCCTAATCATATTTGACCTCCGCGCCGAAGCGCGGCGCCTATTGGAATGAAATGAGATTTTGTGAAAGGGCGACAGCAACTTCTCGAGCCTTTTATAGTTGCCAATAATAAAAGCCGATCATTCCGATCGGTATGAGGGTGCTTGATTATTAAATGTACAATGAATGGCGAACTGGAGAATTTCGCAATGCAAACATTTTCAAATTAAATAACCTTTTCCGTCAATAAATCGCGCTCTTCGGGGTATTTTTGCTTATCATTTTGTAGTACACAGCTGGGTTATTATGGTATGTTATTCCGAAAGCTGTTAATAGAATGATGAGTTGATGACCTAAATATTCCGAAAATCTATTTATAGAGGGATGTACTCCTATTGGTAATTCCCGGTCTCTCCCGGGATTTACTAATGACCGGCGAATAGTACCACACGTTTATTGTCCGGTCTCTCCCGGTTTTGGAGTAGATGTTTGATATCGTTACAGAACAGAACAAATATTTTACAGATAAATAAGCTTTTTTTCAAAATGAATGTTTGTCACTTAGTTTGGTTACAATAATTAATAAACACAGATCAACTCTCGAATTGATTGATTATTATTATACATAAACATACAATTCGAAAAAAAAACAACAACACAAATCGCATGTTATATTTTATCTATATGAGATAAAAACAATAAATATGTACAATAATTGAGAAAAAATGTACATTTTTATGGCATTAATATGACACTATCAACTTTAAAACATTTTATTTAATTTGTTATTCGTGTTTAGTAAATATTCCGAGGAATTATTCAAAGTTACAAATCAGATTTTATGAATTATTCAATTGATTGATAATTTAAAAAATGATAAAGAAATATACAAATGTACATGTATATGGTTTAAGAATAAACAATATTATATATTGAAAGATTAACCATGATTTACTGATTTACTTTTCCAGTTAAGTTTTGACTTATAATCGTCGATCATTATGACAATTGAGTTCTTAAAATAGTAGTAAACGTAAAAACTCAGTATTAAAATAGCGCATAAAACACACACAAAAAAAGAAAAGAAAACAATATTCATAAAATCTGTATTTTTTTTTATTAAAATAGAAATTACATTTATTGAATAATAACCAATTATGCTCAACATGATCAACATGGTAATATAACAAGTGTCATATTGTTACTTAGTGTGAACAGATACCTTAAGAGGGGGTCCTCGCTAATAGCGATAACATAATAAGGGACAATTACACATATGGAACAGAATTAATGCATTTATTCCATCTTGCTTTATGATATCGGAACTTACATTATGCTTGCTTCTATACTTCTTTATGACAATGAAAACCTGCGTTTTGCTGAATTCAATCATGCCTTATGATTACTGAATGCACTTTCATGTAATTGCAACCTTGTGTGTTCCCTACTAAACCATCAAACTCACATATTTTAATATGCTATATGTTTAATTGCATCTTTTTTTAAGGACAACGTATTATGTTTGGTGTTTAAGATAACATTCTTTATAACCATATGTAACATGGTAGTTGTATCTTTAATTTGCTATAAATCTGCCACTTATATTGTCGACATTATGTCAAATAAACTATTCATTTTGATCAATAATTGGCGAATTTGATGCGTCTTAGCATTCATATGCTTCAATATATTCACTGATTACAAATATAATGCAATACATGATCACTGCGCATCGACAACGAAGATGACAACGATAGCGATATTATAGTCGCATGTGACAGTACGCACTAAGCAGTTGGCAGTAAGCATAATGCGAGTTGCAATAATTTGTGTTCATATTATGACAGCAGGTGTCGCTTTGTCGGTACATCCCGTTATTTTCCGGATGATCCCGTATTTTGGCACGTGGAGT